CCAAATAACCTAGACCTAGTTCGTACAGTGGTTTGAGCCACTAACCCTAGCTGGCGCAGGGTGTTAATTTCTTTCAAACAGAAATACTGGTAGAGGTGGAAATACCGATGGCAGCCCTCGAAGACTTTCATTCAGTAAGCACCTGAGGGTCAGAGTGACAGGTTGACTCAAAACTAGACTCCAAGCCCCTGACCTAGACTGGTTTCTGCCACTGGGGATGGGTTTTCATTTAGCTTTCTATTCTGTGTTAGTTAGGGTGACAATTTGCTGTGATGAAATATCATGGCCAAAAGCAACTTGGTGGAGGAAAGGGTTTATTTCACTCATGGTTCCATATCACAGTTCATCAGAAGCAGTGAGGGCCAGAACCTGGAGGCAGGAGCTGATGCAGAGGCCATGGAGTGCTGTTTACTGCCTTGTTAACAAAATCTCAATTGTTCAATTTTACCAATAAAGACTTGGGAGCCAGATGCTGTGGCGGGAGCCTGCCCGCTCAGTGGCAGAGAAAGCACCGCCTGACCTTTCTCCTCAGCTGAAGTAGAGGAAGGAATGCCCCCTCTCTCACACCACCTCAAGCAACCTCCTTTAAACGCAGTGTCCCTCACTTCTACTTCCTGTGCATCTTTCTGTCCTCTTCACGCCTCTTCCTCTGTGTTTTTTCTTAATAATCCTATGTTCACTTCCTGCCAACTGGTTGCTTGCTCCACATCTTGACCTGTGGTTGACTTAATTTAATCCTATTTACAGTATTTAAGCAGAAAGCTCTTGCATTAAGGGTGTGTGCTACGGCTGAGCCACACCACAACTAGAAACAGGTTTTTCCACAATCTCAGGGTTCACAGTGGGATCAAATATTCTACAACATTCCTTGCTTCCTCAACCTGCTTTGCTTTTGGAGCCAGGACCACCAGCCCAGAGATGACACCCAAGATTGGGCTTGACCCCCCCCCATCCTTAATCACTAGGTAAGAAAATGCCTTGCAGGCTTTCTACAGCCCAGTCTTATGAGGCATTTTCCCAATTCAGGCATTCTCCTCTCATGACATCAGTTTCTGTCAAGTTGACATAAAACTAGTCACTACACATTCCAAGTCTTTTTCTCTAGGTACGTGTGTTGACCAAGGACTTCTAAATCCCTTCAAGTAGGAGTGTCTAATCTGAAAGAGTGAAGTCTCCTTGTCTGCATTTTCCTAAATCAATACAAAAGGATTTGAGTTCACTTTGTTTTAGTGAATTAAAGTGTCTAGAAGTAGGAATTGCATCCATTGGATAAGTTCCTATGTTAGATTTAGAACTCCTCACTTGGGCAAAGAGACTTTTTGTGTTATCCACGTCCAGTGCCGGCTTTTGCTGTTCAGCAGGAATTCACCGAGCATGGCCCCTTTGTAGAAAGTTGAAAATGTAAGGGGAAAGTCTGATGATAACATAGAACTTGAAACATCATAGCTGACCAGTATGGCACAGGGTAGTATATTTGCTCTTGTGGAGTGGCTGGCTGGGAGCTGACTCCGGCTGCCTAGGATTGCAATATGACATCAGCACACACAGCCCAGGAAGGACTGGGGTGGATTCTGTTTCTACCCATTGCATACTGCTGTTGTGCCAAGGTGCAGTCCATGAGGCCCAAGGTGCCTCATGACTGTACTCTAAGCCATAGCTCCTGAATCTCATGTAGGAAGCACCTTCCACCAGCCCATCTCTCTTGCGCACACACTCCTCAGGGTTTACTGTGATTTAAAAAAAAAAAAAGAAAGTAAGCTGAGTACAAGCATTCATTGTTCTCTGCTTCCAGCGTGCAGAGCGTGACCATCTGTCTCAAGCTTCTGCTTCTTGTCTTCCCAATGTGATGGGCTAAACCCTGCAACTGTCACCAGAATAAACCCTTTCTCCCTTAAATTGCTTTTCTCAGGTCTTCTGTGTTTGTTTGTTTTGTTTTGTCTTTTGATTTTTAAAAAATATTTATTTTATTTTGTTCCCATTAGTGTAAAGGTGTCAGATCCCTCAGAACTGGAGTTTACAGATGGTCCTGAGCGGCCAGGCAGGGGCTGGGAATTGAACCTGTGTCCTCTGGAAGAGCAGGAAGCACTCTTAACTGCTGAGCTGCCTCTCCAGCCCTTGTATTTTGATTTTTTGAGATAGGAGTTCACTGTGTAGCCTTGGCTGTCCTGGAACTAGCTCTGTAGACCAGGCTGGCCTCAAACTCACAGAGATGGCCTGCTTTTGCCTCCTGATTAAAGGTGTATGACACCACCGCCCAGCTCTTGCTTTTTTTTAAAATCACAACAAGGGGGAAAATAACTAAAACAACTCCCTGGGGGAAATGAGACAGGGTCTTTCTCAATAGATGAGGCTGAGCATAAACCCATGATCCTCCTGTCTCAGCCTCCTGAATATTGGGGTTATAGGTATGTGCCACCTCGCTCAGTTATTCTCATTTGAAAAATTATTTCTTTAGCTGGGTGTGGTGATTCTTTTAATCCCAACACTTGGGAGGCAGAGGCGGGTGGGACTCTGAGAGTTTGAGTCCAGCCAAGACTACATAGTCAGACCCTGTCTGAAAAGCAACAGGGGTTAGTGGTTAAGAGAGCAGCTTTAACCTCCCTCTTCTTGAACTGCTCTTCTTGATTCCCAGGGGCTGGGAGTCAAATTTCCTGCCTGTAAATCCAGCTTTAGGGGACTCCTGCCCTGGCCTCTGTGGCCATCTGTCTGTCTGTGCCAGACAGACGCTCCTAAGGGCTTGCTTTTTGTTTTTGTTTGTTTTTACCTTCCATGTGAGTTTGCCTGTGTGTGCACTATGTGTGTCCCTGGTACCATGGAGGCTGGAGGCTAGAAGAGGTTGGTAGATCTGGAGTTACAAATGGTTCTGAGTGACCATCTCAAGTACTCAGAACCAAATCCAGGTTTTCCCAACCTAAGGCCTGGCTTTTGCTGCTTCATTTGAGCCGTACAAGGTCTGAGGATTAAGCCCTGCCATGTTTCAAGTTAGGAACATCTGTTGCCACATCCCTAGAAGAACACATCTCCTGCTCAGCTGTTGTCCACCTCAGCCTTCCCCTTCCCCCCAGGTTTATTTAATGTCTATAAATGCTCTGTTTCCATGCACACCAGAAATGAGAAACAGAGTCCATTATAGATGGTTGTGAGCTACCATGTGGTTGCTGGGAATTGAACTCAGGACCTCTGGAAGAAAAGCCAGTGCTCTTAACAGCTGAGCCATCTCTTCTGCCCCCTCAGCCTTCCTTTCTTGAAGACAGGGTCACCCAGCTTAACCTTTGGTCTCTTAGTCCTTGTGACTGTGCTAGTTATTACCTAGGATTGTTAGTTACTACTGCTGAGATGGGGCTCACGGATCCCAAGCTGGCCTCCCAGTTCCCTTGCCTTCAAGTGCTGGGATTCTAGGCCTTCGCCGGTGTGCTTAGTTTTATGAGTTGCTAGGAGACCACGGCGTCAAGCATGCTAGGTAACCACTCTACCAACGGAACTACATTCTCAGCCCCTTGGCTAGGGGTGGCTGTGGGTATTTAAGTGTGTGCACATGTGGTATTGTGCGCATTTGGTGGTCAGAGAACAGCCTAAAAGGAGTTCTTCTGCCATGTGTATTCTGGGGATAGAACATTGGTAGGCACCACTGAGCAGGCCCAGCTGCACTTTTTGGGGGGGTTGGGAGAGGACAGTCTCATTTAACTCAGGATGCCTGAAATTTGCCATCTAGCTAAGGTTGGCCTTGAACATAATGTTGCCTGCCTTAGCTTCCTTATGGTGGGATTGTAGACATCTGCCACAGTTTTTTTTTTGTTGTTTGTCTGTTTGTTTGAGACAAAGTCTTGTAGTATAGCACCTGTTTTTCCTCCCAGCCCCAAGCTCCCAGGATAATGACTCATGAGACTCAATATATATTTACAAATGCCTAGGCCAGGTTATAGCCAGGTTCTTCTCTGACTGGCTTTTAAGTTAAAATAACCCGTTTATACTAATCTACATTCTGCCACGTGGCTGGTTACCTCTGCTCAGGTACCATTCATCTGTCCTTGCATCTTCCTGGGAGCGTCCCTCCTGCACCTGGCAGCATCAGCATCCTTCTCCCCGGTGTCTTCTCTTCTGCCCTCTACTGTAGGCCATAGGCTTTTATTGACAAGCAGTGTATCCATGCAGAACACACTGTATTATCTCTACAAGGCTTAACTATCCTTTGTCAACCTAGAACTCTTATGTATTCAAATTCAAGATTAGGCTGTCCTTGAACTCACAGAGATGCCACCTGCCTTCCAAATGCTGGGATTAAAGGGCTCTGTTGTGCTGCACTCTTGATATTTCAGACTATTGGAGTCATGCCTCTCCTGTGTACCTGAAATGAAGGGCACAATGCCCAGCCCCCCCTCCCCCTCCACACGGGGTCTCTGTGTAACCTTGGCTGTCCTGGTCCTGTAGATTGGGGTGGCCTTGACACAGAGATCTGCCTGCCTCTGCCTCAAGAAAGGACACAAGACCTGATTTTTTAAAAAGAATTCATTTTTATTTTATGTGCATTAATATGAAGGTGTCAGATCCCTTGGAACTGGTGTTACAGATAGTTGTGAGCTGTCATGTAGGTGCTGGGAATTGAACCTGGCTCCTTTGGAAGAGTAGACAGTGCTCTTAACCACTGAGCCATCTGATAGATTAATTAATAAGCTTTATTTTCTCTGGGGCTGGGCAGATATTAACCCCCTAAACTACCTCATTATCTCCCAGTTCCACATCCCATGCCTTTGCTCTAATCATTCTTATCTGGGCTTCTTCCCATCCAAAATAATATAAATACTAGCACATGCCTCTCATTTGGGCTTTTTCTCTCCAGCCGCACCGGTCCTCCCGGCCATGTGGTTATCAGCCTGCCTTCTGTCTCTCCTCCCATGATCCTCTTGCCCTCCAAGCCGGAGAACCTTAGCTCCACCTACCTCACTTCTGCCCTGCCCTGGTGTAGGCGTTTATTCAGCCAATCAGGGATATTTTGGAGGCAATGTTACACTGTATTGGATATGAGATAGTCTTCTCATAAAAGACAGCAAGCAGACCTGGGGAGAAAAATAATCAAATGCAGAGCACCAGACCGCAATGCCGTAACAGGTGTGTGTGCCACAGCACGTGTGTGGAAGTGAGATGTTTATGTATACTGTGGGTTCTGGGCAGTCAAACTCAGGCTGTCAGACTTGCACAAGGGTCCTTCCCACTAAGCCATCACTCTGGACCTTTTGGTGGCCTTCCTGTCTGGTGATGAAGGCTTGGTTCAGGCCTTTCAAATTCCAGATGCAGAGGAAGCATGTCTGGGAGCCCAACACCACTGTGAAGGTTACTGGACACAACACACAAGAAGTGACATTTTTCTTTCAGGTTCAGGTGTTAGGTTCAGAGGTAAAATGCTAACCTTTGGGCTGGAGAGATGGCTCAGAGGTTAAGAACACTGGCTGTTCTTGCAAAGGTCTTGAGTTCGGTTCCCAGCAACCACATGGTGGCTCACAACCATCTGTAATGAGAAGTCCAAAAAAAAAAAAAAAAAGCTCAAGGTCAAATTCTCTCCTAAACTAGGAAGTTGTCTGCAATGAGCCAAGGGCCTCATCTTCCTCCTCTTTCTTTCAGCTTGTGAACACTTTCTTCAGCTTCCTTCGGCGCAAAACAGACTTTTTCGTTGGAGGAGAAGAAGGGATGGCAGAGAAGGTGAGTGCCGGGGACCCCTTTTCGTTGAGCTGGTCTGGGAAGCTCACCTGGCCTTCCCACCTTGGAGCCGAATGGGGCTGGGGAGGGACTTGTCCCTGAGGCCCACTTCTGGCGCAGTTCTTGAGGAACCATAGTTCTGTAGTGTTAGCCACCCTCCTCTATGGCTGAGTAGACTGGCTCAGGGCTGCTTTCACTCTGCAAAGTCGTGCGCAGAGTCGGAGGAGGAGCGGCATGGAAAGCAGTCTGCTGGAGCTTGCCTTCTGTCCTGACCCACCCTGCACCCCACAAGGTTTCTGCCAGCTGTCTGGCTGGGAGGAGTGGACAGATGTTACCAGTTAAAGCTTAAAACCAGGCGTGGTGGTGCATGCCTGTAATCTAGCATTGAGTTCGAGGCCACCCTGAGCTACGGTATGAGATCCCCTCTCAAAAAGAGAAAGCAGAAATTAAAAAACTGCAGGTGCAGTGGCTCAGGCATGTATTCTCAGCACTCAGGAGCACAGGGATTAGAGGTGCAGTGTCATCCTCGGCTAGGTAGTCACCCTGGGCCTCCTCACTGGATCCTGCGCCAGACAACGCTGCTGTCCCTTTCTTCATGAGCTCCTACCTCAGACTCATTAAAATGGTTCCCATCAAAAACAACAGGAAAAGCTGTGTGTGCAGGACTGTGCCTCAAACCTGCATGTTTGAGACCACCCCAGTACACTTAAAGGGGGGTGGGGCTGGAGAGATGGCCCAGAGGTTAAGAGCGTTGGCTGGTCTTCCAGAGGTCATGAGTTCCACATGGTGGTTCACAACCATCTATGAAATCTGGTGCCCACTTCTGGCGTGCAGGTGTACATGCAAACACATTGTATACATAGTAAATAAATAAACCTTTAAAAGAGAGAGAGAAAGACAGTAACCACAGGAACTGAGATGCGGGCACAGTGGGAGGGAACGTCAGGTGGCCTGTGTGGAAAACAGCCTGGGGGCTCCTCAAGTGTAAACTAGAACCACCATGGCCAGCAGTTCTGTTTCTGGGCAAGACTGGGAAGACTTGCCGCACACACCTGTGTCCTGCTATGTTACTCAGAATGGACAAAAGGTGGAAGGGCCTAGAGAGGACCCTCAGTGTAGGAGGTAGGGCCTCAGAGGACTCTCCTGACACCCGCCTCAGGACGCTCAGAACTGCCTGTAACCAGCTTTATAGGTTCCCAAGCCCTCTTCTAGCCTTCTTGGCCCCTTACACCCAGGTGTGCACACTAGCACAAAGATGCACACATAACTTTTTGTTTGTTTGTTTTTGTATCGTTTTCTGTTTTGATTTTTTTCTTCTCTCTTTGTCTCCATCTCTGTCTCTCTTTCTGAGACAGGGCTTCTCTGTGTAGGTTTGGCTGAAATTCACTCAGATCCACCTGCCTCTGCCTCCCCAGTGCTGGGATTAAAGGTATTTGTTGGTTTCCTTGATTTGTTTGGTTTTTCAGAGAATCTGTCTATGTAGTCTTGGCCATCCCGGAACTCACCACATAGACCACGCTGGCCTCCAACTCACAGACTACCTCCTGAGTGTCTCCTGAAATCTTAAAATAAATTCCTTAGACAAACACTGCTTAAGTCCAGTACAGACCCCAGCTCAGGGCTTGCCGAGAGCTCATTCGCTTGTGGGGAGCGCTGCTTGTACTCTCTACTTGCAGTTTTATTGTAAGGGCACTCGGAGGGGCTTAGGAGGCAGAAGCAGGAGGATCTGAGTTTGAGACCAGCCTGGTTTATGTAGTGAGTTACACACACACACACACACACACACACACACACACACACACACACACA